GACTTGAAGGTGATACCGTATTTTCAATACAAAATAGACGTATAGCTCACCCGATGCAGTGGCTTCGTCCATAATGAGAATTCTCGGTTTACGTAAAAGCGCGCGGGCGAGGCACAGCAACTGGCGTTGCCCTGTGCTGAAGTTCATCCCTCGCTCATCCAACGGAAACTGTAACCCGCCTGCATCATGTGAGTAGAATTGTCACGTAAAACCTTAAACCCTAAATCATAGACCAGCCATCGCTACGTTCGGTGTGTATTAGAAATAATACGATCAATATTTCAACAGTTGAGGTACGTGTAATAAAAGGATGTCAAGACAGATGCAACACACAGCAATTAGCGATGCCAGCTATTCCACCTTGGAACATCTAGCTTGAAGTAGTTTAAACTAACTGTATGCCAATCACACTAGTCGAGTAGCCCGCCCTTGAATAGGCTGTAAGTTAGGGGCAGTGTTTAATCTGAGAATTAGTTTAAACTATTTGTATGCCAATCACACTAGTCGAGTAGCCCTTGAATAGGCTGCAAGTTCGGGGCAGTGTTTAATTTGAGAATTAGTTTAAACTATTTGTATCCCAATCACACTGATAGCGTAGCGACAGTATTATTACCGTTGATTTCCCTGTGGCTTCTCTGTCATTAATATTGGCCGTGTTATTTGGCACAGCATCAGATGTAACTTGTCCGATTTCAATACCGAAATTCTAACTTAATAATCACAATCTTCCACAGAAAGCAAACCGGAAAATCAATACAAAACCAAGGGCGAGTGCGAGCATGTATTTCATGACTACTCTCTCGATCGAGATTAAACAGGGGTTTAACGAGTCAGAATGATACTAAAACTAGGGCTTTTCTCGAGTCAGATATATGCAACAATAGCAATTTTAAATACCTGGTAAGTCCTTGACCGTATCGGCTATACGAGAGTGGGTGAGAGCCTGCCATATCTCGTCGTCTGTAAACTGGTCAAACGGATCCATATTGTACCGAACAGGCCCAGAAAACAATACCGGATCTGTTCCCGTTGAAAGAATTAATCAGCACTAGTTCCAAACTAATTCAATGCAAAGGCTGCGGGTGGTATCTATCGTACGCAAAATGCGGTCTATACAAACAAGTATATTCATAATCAAACAAACCCAGCGCATACTGAGCTTCTCAGTGGATGAAGAAGATTCCAGACACTCCGGTACTCGAGTACTGCAAAAATGCGCATATGTGACACGCACACAAAGGCAGATGTTTTGAAACATAACTACTTCCTACTAAAAGACTTCGAGCAACAAAACACAATGCACAGATGTGGAATATACGCGTTATTTGAATGCATGGTGGGGTAGACAGCTGAAGTTACACACACACACACATACACATACACATACACGTACACATACACATACACATACACAGACACAGACATATATATAAATATATATATATATATATATATAGGTCACTCAAGATTGCAAATACCGTAATGGGTTACCTTGCGGGATGATACAGACGCCCCTTCCACGTAGGTCGTTGAGTCCAATCTTTGAGATGTCGACTCCGTCAATGGTAATCTTACCCCCACACAGTTCCACCAATCGAAACAGAGTAACGGCTATGGTACTTTTACCTGTGTATGTTAATACGGTCATGATCATATAAATTTATGGATTTCTAAAGGTATGTCTTTCGCTTATGCATTTATGTATGTGTTTATTCATCTATAGAATAGAATACATATACAAATACATACAAACATACATCGTACATACATACATACATACAAACATATATATATATATATATATACGTTGCAAAGTAAGAATCGCCGCAGAACCGATAAGGACATACCTGCTCCTGTTCTACCCACAACTCCAACATGATGCCCGGGCTGTGAAGGCAAAAATTGCAAAAATCGCGTCAGTGCACAGCAGTCTGAACAGCTAGAAGTATAAAAAGTATAAAGAACTCTATGTTCCGAGTAAGTTGGAATGTTGCTGAATGTTACTACAGATGAAGCCGCTTGTTTGATGATATATATATATATATAATGAGTATATGTATAAATATAAATATATATATATATATATATATGTATATATATATATGTATATATATATACATTCAATTTTAGCCGAGAGCGTGTAGATTGTAGACATATATCCCGAATTAGTATAATAAAATACTACCTGCCGTAAAAATTCAGTTTCATACCAATGTATGCGGATTGAACGTATACTAATACACATACTCGGCTAAGACCCTTTTCTCGTGTAAGACACAAACCTTAATGATCACATCGAGGCCTCGTAATGAGAGCGGATTAAACGTATACTAATACACGTACACGGCTAAGGCCATTTTCTCGTGCAAGACACAAACCTTAATGATCACATCGAGGCCTCGTAAGGAGAGCGGTAGTTCGGGACGGTACTGCATTTGCGCGTTGCTCATCCTCACCTATCCAGATGAAAGTGTGTGTGTGTATGGGTATGAGTATGAGTACGAGTATGAGTATGTATATGTGTATGCAGATAAAAGTGTGTGTGTGTATGCAGATGAAAGTGTGTATGTGTATGTGTATGTGTATGTGTATGAGTATGAGTATGTGTATGAGTATGAGTATGAGCATGAGTATGGGTATGAGTATGAATATGAGTATGAGTATGAGTATGAGTATGAGTATGAATATGAGTATGAATATGAGTATGAGTATAAGTATAAGTAAGGGAAGGTGTGAGTGTGAGTGATAGCGCTATTTTAAGTGTAAGTGTAAGTGTAAGTGTAAGTGTAAGTGTAAGTGTAAGTGTAAGTGTAAGTTGGAGTGTATGCGTGCTTGTAAGAGATGAATTCCGCATGTATGGAAACCTCTATGCACATCCTGTTCGGAGCACCACCGTTCAACCTATCATTTCTTGATGACACTCTACAATTGAAGGCGATATGGGGTCATCCTACTGGCGGTTATAAATAATCCATTCACACATTATGTACCATACATATACTCCTTACATTATATCACACCTACCATAAATGTACACGTACATTATATTACACTTACCATATATATACACATTATATACCATATATATATACACTTAAAACATTATACTACACTTACCATATATATATACATTATGTACCTTATATATACACTTACCATATATATACACATTATGTACCATATATATACACTTACATTATATTACACTTACCATATATACACACATTATGTACTATATATATTATCATGTCTCAATACCTAATTAATCCATACACACATTATGTACTATATATATTATCATGTCTCAATACCTAAATAATCCATACACACATTATGTACTATATATAAACACCTACATTATATTACACCTACCATACATATACACAATATATACTATATATACGATCATGTCTCAATACCTAAATTATCCATTCACACATTATGTACCATATATATACACTAACATTATATTACACCTACCATACATATACACCGTATATACTATAACACTGTCATGTCTCAATACCTAAAAATTCATTCACACATTATGTACCATATATATACACTTACATTATATTACGCCTACCATACATATACACCTTATGTACTATATACACTGTCATGTCTCAATCCCTAAATAATCCATTCACACATTATGTACCATATGTATACACTTACATTATATTACACCTACCATACATATACACCTTATGTACCATATATATACACTTACATTATATTACACCTACCATACATATACACCTTATGTACTATATACACTGTCATGTCTCAATACCTCGCCTTTGCTGGGCCACCCCTCTGGAGGGCGATTGTCGTCTATAATCAGTGGGGCTTCCGGTGCCAGTTCAGTGGCTGTTATGGTTGGAAATCAATGATGTTTAAAATACGGATAGAATTATAATTGCTTTTGACACCAAAAAAATAAAGTATCATAAATGACGCAGAATAGGAGTATATACTTTCGCACACAACGACACCACCAGTGAACCGTGAAAGGTGAGCACTACGCCACATCCCATTCAACTAATAATTATATCTTTGTTGTTCATTTAAACATGCAAATGGATGCGCATATATTTCGAGGTAGGTACGATGAATGACATAGAAAACAATAC